TCTTAATTCCGCTCAGATCCCTAATTCAGCTGCGGAGAAAAGACACTGACGCATCTCCGGCAGCGCGCACAATGTCGTACAGCGACACGATCCCGCTGAACGCCTCCTCCCAATCGGACATCGACGAGATCGAGAATCTCATCAACTCTCACCCGTCCTCCGTCCTCCCAGCTCGGCCCCCATCCCCCACACGCGCCTCCATCCCGGTCTCCTCATCCCCCTCCGCGCCGCCACCTCCGCCGCCCACCTTCATCCCCTCCAACCTCCCACCGCCCGCAGCTCCCAAACCGACGCCAGTAACCTCCTCCGCGCCGAAAGTTCCCGCCGCCAGCGGATCTGGCAGCTCAAGCGGCGGTATAGCGGCGTCTGGGTTCGGGTCGCCGCCAAATACTCTGACCGAGCCTGTTTGGGATACCGTGAAGAGGGACTTGTCGCGGATCGTTAGCAACTTGAAGCTGGTTGTTTTCCCCAATCCTTTCAGGGAGGATCCAGGGAAGGCTTTGAGGGATTGGGATCTATGGGGACCCTTCTTCTTCATTGTTTTCCTTGGCCTTACTCTCTCATGGTCTGCTTCCGTTAAAAAGGTGAATTCTAAAATGTCTATTTCGAGCTCATGGTTGCATTGTATCTATATAATTTTCTTTTTGTTATTGTTATTTATTGAAATAAAGTGCCATTAACTTTAGTGGATGGATACATGATATCTTGGTGTTGGAGAAGTTATGAGATTTGAGCATACGAATAATGGATGTTCGATCAAGCCGGTAAAATGTTAAGTTTGACTCTCTGTAGGCAATTACATTCTCAATCTGGTTCATCCGTAGCCCTATGCTTCAATTGAAATTTTTACATCCCGCTTATGAATTTTTGGAAAAAAACATATTAGTCAATTCAACCAGGATAGGGCTCTTCTATGGATCGGTTTTTCAATTTCAACGTGTAGATTGAAGATTGATTTAGATGCCTTGTGATCATGCAGCTATGGGGCATTGTGTTTGCTAAACCAGATTTGAAGCTCTAACTTCTTTAGTGTGTTCAATTTGGAACTACAAATGGATTTTTTTTTTTTTGGTAGACAACACACCATCTTCTTATATTTATTCTTCTTTATTTGTACTATTTTGAGCTGCATTTGGGCCGTTGAGTAAGCAATCATTCTATTTGTATTTTGGGGTTTAAATCTCAGAAAAACTATGGATTAAAATATTTGGTTGCTTAAGCATTTTGGTGTCTTTTAATTGGATTTTGTTTGTGGTAGGTAATGCCGTCTTAATAATCGTACACTCCTTTGGCTACATTACTGAAGAGTATATCCATATTTAACAAGAAAATATGGGAAAGAAGAACCATATTGCTTTCTATCTGAATTACTTCAGTTGAAGTGTATTTGGCCATTGGATATTCACTCGAAAATATTTTTCTTATGTAAATTGCTTCTTCCTGGTAGTGACAGATTGCTTAGTTTCCTGGTACATTTTTGCGGCTCAATCTGGAGTAAGCAATTTGATCTGAATAAGATCTATTTGGAACTCAATATTGTTTGTCTCAATGAGGGATGTCATGTCTGCTCTATTTTTGGAAAAATTACGTGGCTCCTTTGCATATTAACTCCGTTGAGAAGAGTTCATATTTTATAAATCTGACGGTTATCTGTGGCTATGCGTAATAATTGCTGAAGACGTTAAATTACCCAATAAAAAGTTTGATTTTTTGTCTTATTACGAAAAGGCTAACTGTCATTTAAAATCATGACTACTCGCTTGATATCTTCTGTTTAGAAGGTGCGCTCTCAACAGGAATGATATTCTGTTTACAAAATGAAAGTTCTGAGTGTTTTATTGTAATACAAAATTTTATGAAGTTCCTGCCCAGTTAATTAACAATACATGTTGAAAAATACATAATCTAATATGTGACGGAGGTGCCTTTTTCGACTGCTGGAATTAGATTCCCAGGTGCTTGTACTGCTTGGTTTTTAGAGGTTCATTTAGTACAGAATTTTCTGTGTGTACCCATAGAACCTTCTAAATATGCATTTGCTTATATAAGCTAAATCAATTGTATCAGGCTTCTTTTTCTAGACTATGAACCCAAGCCCCAATTCTGCCAGATATCTTTTGTTCCTCAAATTTTACTTATTTACTAATCAGCTGTAAAACTTTCTCGATTTAGTGGTACATCTGAAATGATGGGTGGTTGGAAAACTTATGTTGGCTTTGATACTTCACAAATATTGATCTGAAAAAACCTAGTTGCTGCCTATATTCTCTTGCTTGTACTCTGCTTATGCTTTATCTCAATCTTTTGCAATTTGCACTTGTGGCTTAAAGAGTAGTCTTTCATGCATCTTTTCGTGAATGCAGTCCGAAGTATTTGCTGTTGCATTTGCCTTACTCGCTACTGGTGCTGTAATTCTGACCTTGAATGTCTTGCTGCTGGTAAAAAAGCCCTCTCTCTCTCACACACACAGACACACACAAACACACACAAACACACACACACATTTGTATTGCCTCTTCGTGATCAATCTACGCATGTTTTTAGGGCGGTCACATTATATTCTTCCAGAGCCTGAGTCTGCTCGGCTATTGCCTATTCCCCCTCGACATTGGGGCCTTGATCTGCATGCTTGTAAGCAACGTGATTGTGAAGGTTGTAATGGTGGCCTTTACACTTGCATGGAGCTCATGGGCAGCATACCCCTTCATGAGCACGGCCGTTAACCCACGGAGGAAAGCCCTTGCCCTCTACCCCGTTCTCCTCATGTATGTGTCCGTGGGCTTCCTCATCATTGCCATCGATTGACACGCATCACGTTCGACGATTTGTGGTATGTTTGCATCACTTAGTGATTAACCAATCAATATATAACTCTTGTGAAACCGACTAGCTTCATTTATATGTAAGCCTATACACAACGATTCGTGTTGATAACTTGTGAAGATTTTTTTGAATAAAGTTGGATGTTAATGGAGATGGATGTGATTATGGATGCGTGTACGTATGTAGATTTCCTATTTCATTTCGTTGGATGAATGACATGTGCGCTTAAAGATGTCATATTTATACACGCGTCATTCATTCATTTAATAGAGTGAAAAGGAAAATGAATTGTGAAAGTGGAACAAAAGATCTTATTCTGTTATGTACACGGTTTGGCAGACAAGTGTATTTTAGCAGTAATTGTCAAATTTTTTTCTTCTTTTTTGGGGTAAGAGTACAATAAGCTAAAATTGACGAATTCTAAATCGGGTTTGGGTTGGGAGACTTGGATCCAAACTTATTTCATTATTTAGACCATTAGATGTGGACCTAGATGATGGATTTGGGGGCCATTTAGTCTGTAAATAAATCTAGTGGACTCGTCGTATCCATACTTATTTGAAGCACTATAACTGGGCCTGAATAGGATGGATTTGTGCATCGTTGTAATTTAAAAAAAAAAAAAACTAGTTGGCCCATATATACATATTTGGACCATTACGACTGGGCTTGAACGAGATGAATTTGTGGACCCATGTTCATAGGGCCAGTCAAATCTTTCTCAGTAGTATCACGTGTCATGAGCTTTTACAGGCTGTCTTTGTTGTTTGTCTAATTTGAGGCCAGCGAACAGTCTACGGAAATCGGGCAGTATAAATCAATATAACTTCAAGAAATAAAGTGTGTGTGTGTGTGTGTGTGTGTGTGTTCTTTCGATTGGTAAAGGAAGGTGCTCAGGCAGAGCTTGCAGTAAAGCTGAGCCCATTTTAAAACATTTGCCATTTAAACTAACGGATGATCAGCATTTGGTCCCCAGACTACGAAATGCAGGCGTCCTTTCGAAACAATGAGAAGTGATCATCCCTTCGTCCGAGACACATTTCGTTTTCCTTAATTTTCAATAATTTTAGGAAAGTATTATGCCTGGTTTTAATACTTTCTGATTTATGTAGAAAAACCTTGCAAAGGTATGGCAAAATGTGGTGCTCTATAATCTAGTGATCATGTAGTTCTTTCTTAATGACCGTAAATAAGTAGCTCCGGAGGATCTTATGTCAAACACTGAGCCTTCATATTTTTTTCACAAATTTGATTTTTATGCTTTTTTCAGTGAAAAATAACATGGAGTCCATTGTCGGGCGCGCGGAGAGTTTTGGTTTTGTTGAGTTCAGAATGTAATACGAGCATCTGTCGGACAAATTACATTTCATGGTTATTTAGAACGAATTAAATCAGTTGGTTTATGTTTAGAAGGGATCTAATGAGATTATGATAAAAGTACGATATTTGATGATATAAGTACATAATTTTGTTCATAGAGTATGACTGGTCGATTCGTTATAGTCGGGTCTCATATAAGAACTCAAGTGCAATTTATAATGCAATTAGGTGAACAACTTTTTGACACAAATTAGGAGAGAGGTCCTTGTTACGTGTATACCTACGCGTATTATATATGACTAGGAAAATAAAGAAGGTTTGTTAATTAAGAAAATAAAACAGAATCGGGAATTCAGTGATTATAAAACTTCTGAAGAGTACTGATCGGTACTGATACCAAACAGAAGTTGCAGAAAAAGAAAAAAAAAGTTTTTTTTTTTTTATACAGGGACTTTCCGGTTTCCAGATCCACATGGGAACCGACTAATCTGGAATCGAGCCGGGTAGGACCACAAGGGCGGCAAAGCTCTCCCTCAAGAGTTTTAACACTGCTGCATTCCCAGGGCTCGAACACGAGACCAC